TGGGGGGATGGGTTAGCCTGGTGATGGGTATTAAAGAGGGCACGTATTGAATGGAGCACTGGGTGTTATATGCAAACAATGAATCATGGAACACTACATCAAAAACTAATGATGTAATGTATGGTGATTAACATAATAAAATAAAATTTTTTTAAAAAGTTGATTACAGAGGAGAATAAATCTTTGTTAAAGTTTTAACATTAAAAGAAGAATTTAACACCATCTTTTTATATATTTTTATACAAGTTGGATCAGCTGAGGAGGCCTGGGTGGCACAGTCAGTTGACCATCTGACTCTTCATTTTGGTTCAGGTCGTGATCCCAGGGTCCTGGGACCAAACCCTGCTGGGGACTCCTCTCCCTCCTCCTCTTCCCCTCCCCCCTCAAATAAATTAGTTTAAAAAAAATTGGATCAGCTGACAGAATGACTTGAGGAACTGTAACATAAAGGTTATGAATATAGGCTCTGGGTTAAATCCCGTTCCACAGTATTCCAAAGACAGTGAAGGACCTAACAGCTTAATACAGGCATACCTTGGGAAAAGGGTCCATAGAGCATTGGTGCTATTTTGGTAGATGCAAGTGAAAGATTAGAAGTGAGTAGAAGAGGAGAAATAGTACATCAAGCTCTTGAGAAGTTTAGTTGTGATGGGGCACCTGGGTGGCTCGGTTGTTAGGCGTCTGCCTTCAGCTCAGGTCGTGGTCCCAGGTCCTGGGATCAAGCCTCGCATCGGGCTCCCTGCTCGGCGGGAAGCCTGCTTCTCCCTCTCCCCCTCCCGCTGCTTGTGTTCCCGCTCTCGCTGTGTCTCTCTGTCAAATAAATAAAATTAAAAAAAAAAAAGTTTAGCTGTGAGAGGGGAAAAAAGTGGTAACTGGAGAGGGAATTAGAGGAAAGGGAAGGTGTTGTCATTGTTTTCAGGGTGAGAGACTTGAATTTGTTTAAATGTCAGTGGCTAGGTGAGTAAATGAATACCCTGGAATTTCATGTTATCTCTCCGTAAAACTCCTGGAAAAGAAAAAAAACTCGAGTTTTAAGTTAAAGCAAGTAATGATACCGAAGTATGAAATTGTTAATGAGATTAGAGCAGTCACTACATTATAAACTCCTTAGACAGTGCTCACCCTTATATTCCCTGTGCCGAGCACATTGAACCCAATACATAGATGATACACTTTCTAAATTGGGAAAGATGGAATAAATTATATTTTCATAGTCATCTATGAATAATTTTTAACTTTAGTTCCATTTACATAAAAATACAGCTCATCCCTGTTTAAGAAATATTGACACAGTTATACCTTGGAGTTGTGAGTTTAGTTCCAGACCACCACAATAAAGCAAATATTGTAATAAAGCAAATCAAATGATATAAAAGTACATATAAAAGTTATGTTTATACTGTAGTCTGTTAAGTGTGCAATGGTATGTCTAAAAAAATACATACCTTAATTTTAAAACTTCATAGCTAAAAAATGCTAACCATTATTTGAGCTTTTCATGAGTCATAATCAGTCATCGTAGATCATCATAACAAATACAATTCATGGAAATGTTTGAAATATTGTGAGAATTCTCAAAATTTGACACAAAGTGAGCAAATGCTGTTGGGAAAATGGCACCAATAGACTTGCTTAATGCCAGTTGCCACAAACCTTCAATTTGTAGAAAAATTCAATTATCTGCAAAGTGCAATGAAGCAAATCAGTAAAATGAGGCATGCCTGTAATAGCAGCCAGTATTTTTTGATAGCTTATCATGTTTGAGTTAATATTCTAAATGCTTTACACTGGGGCGCCTGGGTGGCTCAGTCGTTAAGCGGCTGCATTCAGCTCAGGTCCTGATCCGAGAGTCCTGGGATCAAGCCCCACGTTGGGCTCCCTGCTCAGTGGGGAGCCTGCTTCTCCCTATCCCTCTGCCTGCCGCTCTGCCTACTTGTGCTCTCTATCTCTTTGTCAAATAAATAAAAAAATCTTTAAAAAATATAAATGCTTTACATAAGTGAACATCCTTAAACTTTAAAACCATCTATAAGGTAAGTACTGTTATTGCCCCCATTTTACTGATGAGGACAATAAGAGTTAACAAGTAACTTGCTTGTCTATTAACTTTTTTTAAGATTTTATTTATTTTAGAGAGAGTGTGCACATGTGCAAGGGGCAGAGGGAAAGGGAAAGAGGATCTCAAGCAGACTCTGTGCCAAGAGCAGAGCCTGACACAGAAATTATTTGCACCACCCTGAAATTATGACCTGAGCCAAAATCAAGAGTCAGATGCTTAACCGACTGAGCCACTCAGGTTCCCCTACTTGTCTATTAGGTTTTTAATTGTGCAAGTTACTTGGGCTCCCTGTGCCTGAATTTCTTCATCTGTAAAATAGGGATAAGAATTACCTCAAAGGATTTTTGGGAGAAGAGCATGAGATAATGCATATAAAGTGTTTAGTATCATGCCTGGACCATATTAAATGCTCAATAAATGTACCTTGTAAAAAAAAGTTTGTAGTATATGCTACTCAATTGTATAGTTTTTTGTTGTGCCTTATGAAAAATTCCGATAACGTTTCTGACGTACTGTATATTCTTAATATTTATTTTACTTAGAGTTTTGATACCCATTACTGGAAATACCTCTGTGGCCATGTCAGGAAAGATATAAAGTGAAGAAAGACATTTTTATTTCATGTGAAAGTACATTTTATTTCATTAACATGAATATTTAGAAGTTGCCCTTTGATTTGCCTGTTTTCTAGGTAGTTAGATTTCATGGTGGAGCTCTTCCTGCTTATGTTACATCTAGTATCCTTCTTGCTTATGGAGGACAGTTATACTCTCTTTTCTCAACAGGTAAGAATGTTTCTATTCCTCCTCTCTTCTTCATCCCTTTCCTCCTCAGTGCTCCATTACTACTTATTTATCCCTCGTGTGGCTAAATTCATGACCCATCTCAAGTTTACAGGCATTTCAGATCCTCTGGTTTTAGGAGATCCCCAAGAAGATTCCTTACTTGGCTTTTCCATTTTACACTTTCATGCCGAAGGTTTTTCCCTCTATTCTGAGGATATCCTAAGAGGTAGAGTCTCCCTGATGGGGATCTTGTTCCCCATTCCATTCCTGGTACCTAACATAGTGTCAAGCACATAGTAGGCATTCAGTGTAATGTTTGGGCTGTATTCACTGTATCAGTTAGGTCCTGGCACACTGAATGGAATAATTGAGAATTTATTTTAATGAAGGCACTATTTCAAAGGTATGGGTAGGGTTGAGGAAAACCAGCAAGAAATGATTAAGTGCCAGATTAGCAGTAGAGCCATCTGATACTCCTTGGTGCCAGGGCAAGGGAGTGAGCAAGCCTTAGAGAGCTATAGTGGAGGGCAGCATCACTACAGCTGCAGCCACTGTCAGCCTGTGGCTCAGCAGGGGGGAAAGGCAGGGAAATACATACACTAACCTTATTTCCTCTTTTTTTTTTAAGATTTTATTTATTTGAGAGAGAGAGACTGAGAGATAGCACGAGAGGGGGGAGGGTCAGAAGGAGAAGCAGACTCCCTGCTGAGCAGGGAGCCCGATGTGGGACTCTATCCCGGGACTCCAAGATCATGACCTGAGCCGAAGGCAGTTGCTTAACCAACTGAACCACCCAGGCACCCACCTTATTTCCTCTTATCAGTACCTATCATTCATTGCACCTAAGTCAGCCTCCCAGAGTTCAGAACAAAGTAAGGGGAGAATGGGTCTGGAGAGGCAAATATAGAATATATACTGCACTGGACAAAACCTTCCTTTGAGTATAGCATTGAAAATAGTTTCCCGGGAGCCTACTTTATAAAGCCCTCACACACTTGTTAAGCTTGGATTGTAATCAAGGGAGATAAGAGATAGGAAAAGACAGTGGATCAAAATATATAAAAGTAGTCTGAAAATATCCTCTACCATTTCCATCTTGCCAAATCCTTCTGCAGCTACTTATTTCCTTTCAATGACTTACAATTTCAAGTCTGCCATTAGTATTCATTTTAATCTTCATATATTGCTGTTGGGAATGTAAATGGTATAGATGCTTTGGAAAGTAGTCTGGCAGTTACTCTATGACTCAGGATTTATACTCCTAGGTATATAACCAAGAAAAATGTAAACATACACCCACACTAAACTTGTGCATACCTGTTCACACAAGCACTATTTGTAATATCCAAAAACACAGAAACAACCCAAATATCCATCAGCTGATAAATGGATAAATAAAATGTGCTGACACATCCTACAACATGAATGAATCTTGGAAACATGCCAAATGAAAGGAGCCAGTCACAAAGGACCATATATTATGTGATTTCGTTTATAGAAAATGTTCAGAATAGGCCAGTCTATAGACACAAAGTAGATTAATTGTTGCCTGGGAATAGGGAAACATTGCAAGTGACAGTTAAGGGGAACAAAGTTTGGGAGTAATGAAAATGTTCTGAGACTGATTGTGGTGATAAAACCACTAAATTGTGTATACTTTGAATGAATGGTGTGGTATGAGAATTATATCTCAGTAAAATTGTTTTTTAAAAAAAATCACCTTTGGAGCTTTGTGAAAATACAAATGGTGAAACCCCAGCTTTGACTTCCTGAAGTTGTTTCAGAAGGGATTGTGTACTCTTATATAAGACCTATTGAATTACAGTAATTTTTAATCTGTGAAGAGAGTGTTTATGATAATGATCCTTGCTTTCTCTGACATGAAATATGATGCTCTTACAACGCAGTCAGTGTATGATTACTCATAGTTACTATGAATTCTTTACTACACATAGGTGTTTTTTTTTTTTAATCACCAGGTCATTGCTTAGAATATGCTACTATGTTGGATAAAGAAGCCAAGCCATACAAAGTTGATCCTTTTGTAATTATGATTAAGTTTCTGTTGGGGTAAGTTTTATTATCTGTGATAATGATTTTAATTATTTTATATATATGAAACATGTTTAGCCCCATAATGAAATACAAATATTCATACAAATATGGCAATTGTCTTGTTTTATTAAATGGGACTTTTCTCTTAGGCAGAGGCCTAATAGGTATATCAACATTTACTTTAATACTATAACCATTTCAAAAGTAATTATAGAAGTTAGATGTATCAATTATAGAAATTAGTCTGTAAATATACCAAACTTCTAACATTTGCAAAGGGATGCATATGGTCCATAATCTTTGAGTATCCCAAATTCATGAGCACAAACCATTATAGGATACTTGTGAAACAGCGCCTCAGATCACTTTTTCTTCCCATACAAAGTGTATTTTGGATCTCTACCACACTTAACATTCCATTTTTAATTTATTCTAATTTTTTGTTTTTTGCTTAGAACCAATATACTTAGATCTCTTTTCGTTAGCCATTACAACTACCTGTTAGTTTTCTAACTTAAAAAAAAAGACCACTTATTTATTACAAGAATCAATAGAGAGCAGTGGAACTGCATTCAGACTCAGGACTCGGATCCTTGAAGATCAGTAGACTCACTTGGAAAATAAATGACTTGTTCTCTACAAGGAATTGAAAATTGTTTTTCTGTATAATTACGAATTGAGTATCATGGAACTTTGGGGACTCTAGTGAATGGTCAGACACCTCAGATATTAAATACTTGAATATCAGTTGTTGATTTTTTTCTTTTATTGTATGTTTTCTTTTATCCACAGATATAAATGGTTTAAGGAATTATGGGATGTGTTAATGTTACCAGAATTAGATGCCATCGTTTTAACTAGTCAGAGTATGTGTTTCCCCCTTGTATCCTTGATTCTCTTTCTGTTTGGAACATGTACTGCCTACTGGGGTGGCCTACTTTCTTCTACATCTGTGAGACTCCTTTCTTCATTGTGGCTAGCTTTGAAAAGGTAAAAAATGAAAGCTTTCTAATTCCTCTTAAGGAAAAAACTATATTTTGATAGGGAACCTCACAATTAATTGGCTTTCACTAAACTCTGATTTTTTTTTAAAGATTTTATTTATTTCACAGAGAGAGAGAGAGAGTACAAGCAGGGGGAGCAGCAAGAAGAGGGAGAAGCAGGCTCCCGATGAGCAGGGAGCCTGACATGGGGCTCGATCCCAGGACCCTGGGATCATGACCTGAGCCGAAGGCAGACGCTTAACCAACTGAGCCACCCAGACACCCCTAAACTCTAATTTCTAAGGAAAGATGTATCACTAGAAAAACGTGTTAGTGTTCAAAGTTATGTCTTTGTTAAAGATAATCATTTAGGGACATCTGGCTGGCTCAGTCAGAGGAGCATGCAACTCTTAATCATAAGTTTGAGCCCCACGTTGGTATAGAGATTACTGAATTAAATAAAAACTTTTATTTAAAAAAAGATAATCATTTATTGCAAGCTAAATGCACATTTGTGTTAATGCCAAGAGTTAATCAAAAAAGTTTGACAGAGGGGTGCCTTACTGGCTCAGTCGGTAGAGCATGCGACTTTTGAACTCAGGGTCATGAATTCAAGCCCAGCATTGGGAGTAGACATTACATTAAAAAGTGACAGATTACTGAAGTATTTTTAATTTTTATGATTGTAAATCTTTCAAAGGAAGAAGCGTTTTTCTGGCAATGCTTTTATATGTTGACTTTCAGTCAAACCTGAGAGCAAGATAATTCTAGTCAAGATACTTAAGATCAGATTAGATGAAATGCATAAAAATTCCAAAAACATTGCCTCGAGTTTTATTTTGGACCCAAAGATAAAGTTTGAAGTTACTAGTAGGTTCTTCGGGTAAACCACTGACCTCGTTTCTATTGCCTTTGCTCCTCACCAGACATGTTATGTGATATACTGTCACAGAGGGTTTTATGGTGTGATGCTTCTTCCTTCACCCTTCTGAGGTGCTTCTGACACTAATAACATCTTAAGTCTGAGTGATCTCGAGACTTTAAGAAATAGAAAGATTGGAAATACATGGCACAGGGCCTATAATTAATTATTTTTAGCAGCATTTTTTTCTGAGTACAAATATCAGCCATAGTGTATCTAAATGGAACAGGAGCTGTCACCATGTATTACAGAGTATACAAATGTATGTCATTCCTTGCCTTTATGAAAAAATATTTTACTGCTTACCTTATGGTACTTGCATATTAATAAGCAGGAGAGCTTGGCAGAGTACTGTATTGTTTTCAAATGTGACTGTATAAATAACTGTTAATATACTTTTAAAAGCTTTATTCTTGTTTTTTCCAGGCCCTCTGAACTTCCTAAAGATATCAAAATGATATCAGCAGATTTGCCCTTTTTGACAATTGTTTTGATCATAGTTAGTTGGACAACCTGTGGAGCATTTGCCATACTGCTTACTTATCTTTATTATGTGTTTAAGGTATGTCACATCACTGAAGTCAGAATGGCTGGGCTTTGTGTCAGGCAGAATTTCCTGTAGGTGTTGTTAACAAAAATTTTAATTACAGTTGCAGTAACCTGTTATTTAAGGTTTAAGTGTAGGTTTTTTCTTAACATCTTAGTTATTTAAAATATATGGTTAACTATAGAGCTGAAATTATTGATCTGAGTTTAAAATAAACTGAGTTTACTAAAAAAGAAGGGGAAAATATATGATCTGTTTTGCATTGCTTCTTGCTCTTGCAAGTAATGTTAACTTTAAAAAAACATTTTACTACAGCAGTTTTCATTCATACCTCCCTTTGAACATGGGTAATAGACAAAAAGTTATGTCAGTGGGATCGATCTATCAATTGTGCTGACATAATGTAGAATGTTATAGATGTTGCTAGAGAATCAGAAGACAAAAATAATGAGGCTGATAATTTTACTGAGGAAGTAAAAAACACTTCCAAGAAGTCTGATAGCTTTGCAGGAAAATCTAGGTTATACAACTGTATACTCTCCTCATTAAACTTAGGTAGAGACAGTTGATACCAGAATGGATAATCATTGTTTTCTTTTTTAAACAAAGGTTTATTTACATCTGCTTCAAACACTAATAAATTATAGATTATTTTCAGTTTTCCAAAGGAAATTTATGTCCATCAGAAAAATCTATTTACTACTTTGATTTATAAATATATTTTTAGCTTTTTAAATTGGATATTTCAAATAATTGACACAATGAGCAAAACTTTCTCAAATACTTGGCTTAAGCAAACCTAACAAATTAAACCTAAAGATTTTCTGAGATTCTTGTAAACATTTCACCATATATAATTGAGTTCAAATTTTCAAAAATTGAGAATAGATAAGACATATTAAAATCTTTATACTATACTGAAGATAATCAGATATTTTACTCACAGGACACTAAGTTGCTAGAGCAAAGCATTATTCAAACATAGGTTCTCAGAATAGCAATATATCCTGGACCCATCATGCTCTGGAAGTTTGTTTTATTTTGTTTCTTTTTTTTAATCCATAATAGCAAGCTTGTATAGTTATTATTTACCTTTTCTGAAAGAATATTTGTAAATGTTTAAATGTATTTTTAGTTATTCAGATTTCTTTAAATTTCAGATTACAGTGTTTCTCAGTTGTAATAAAAATGGTTGTTTTTTTTGTTTCAAAATAAAAGTGAAATTAAAGTTTTTTCTTTTTTCCTAGATTGTTCATCTGCAAGCCAGCCTAACAACTTACAAAAATAGCCAGACTGTGGTAAGTTTTATTTTCAAAACTCTACATCACTTAATATAAAAGAACATGGGGAAATAAAAAAGTTTGTGTTTTTTTAAGTTAGGATTTCACAGTATTTTAAAAAGGTGTCATGAATTTAAGTAACTTTAAGAAAAGTAAACCTAATAGACTTAGATTGTCTAATTTTAATTTTTTGTTGTTGTTAGAGAGTACGCATGTGGTGGAGGGCAGGTGGTAGCAGGGAGGGGCAGAGGGAGAGAATCTCAAACCCCCGACTCAGGGCTTGATTTCACAACCCTGAGATCATGACCTGAGCCAAAATAAAGAGTCCAACGCTTAACTGACTGAGCCACTCAGGTGCCTCTGTCTAATTTTAATTTGATCTTTATCAGTACTTATGTCATTTTTATTGTTACAAATTATCTTTTTTAAATTTTAAGTAATTACTTAGAGGATATAGTCTCAGCAGTGGAAATAGCAAGTCAAGGAATAAAAATTTTATAGCTAATAACTGCTTTAAATTACATTGAGCAAGGTAATTTAAATATTTTATGTCAGTTTGGCAATAGAAAGATGCAGTTATTTAGCTATTAAATAAATAATTGAGTGTGATCCTGAGTAAAATAATAAACTTTAATTTTAATATCTTTGTGTTTTTACTTTATTGCTTTATAGAATCCCAAACACTCTAGAAGAAGTGAAAAAAAATCAAATCACCATAAAGACTCTACAGTACACTATCTTCGTTTATCTGCCAATGATGCTGAAGATAGTCTTCGCATGCACAGTACTGTGATTAACTTACTAACATGGATTGTATTACTCAGCATGCCATCTTTAATTTATTGGTTAAAGAATCTCAGGTGTGTTTTATTTATATAATTATAATTTATGTGCTTCAAACAATAAATATCTGTAAGTAGAGACTTACCAGATTCCTAATGGTTCATAAAACTTCGTCAAGAATAGGAAGCTATATATTTCCCAAAATTTATTTTTAGTATATTCACATTTTTTCCCTTACTGTGAGGATATAAACTTCCTCAAAATCTGCCCAAAAGAGGGAAGTGTATTTTATTTATTTTACCTTTAACCTTCTGTGAGTCTAGATGTAAAAATGTGCTTTATTTTGTTGACTTAAGGTATTCATAATGCTTGGTGCTTTAAGTATTTTTCAATTCATGATCAGTTTTATGTTTTCTTAAATTTGGAAGGAAGAAAATGCTTACATTTAAAAAGATTAGAAATAATGAAAAAGTGTAGTTTTCTAATTGAGTATCAAACATTGAACTAAAATAAATGACCACCTCTTTTACTACTGAAAACCATTTTTGCCTTGCCACGTGATAATTTTCTAGGTTAGAGTGTTAAAATGCCCTCTGAGATTATTTCTGGAATATTTAGTTATTGGTAAATATTAAAAAAAAAAACAGGCCACCTTATCCAAGTAATAATAGATTCCCTCCTCAATGCAGTTTTCAGAAATAATACAAAAATTTCAAATTATCTAAATACTGGAAAATTTTTTTTTTTTGAAAAGCCAAGTAAGTTTGATAGATCAACAGGTTATGAGATGTTAATATCCCTCCTTTTTAGTCAAGATCCAGATTTTTGTTCACAGGTTTGGGGAGAAATTATTTGAGGAGCTCGAATTTATGATTCTGAAAGGCTATCAATGCCTCACTGTCCATAAATGCCAGAGATGAGAATTTGGATTTTTAAAAATAGGGACAATTGCTTTATAAAAACCTTTGTTTTTTTCTCTTTTTTTTTCTAGAGCAGACTTAATATATTTTAAATAATTTGTTTTATAAAAACATTTCTATATGAGCTTTCAGGCATATACCTGTTATTAAAAGGAAGTGCTTCCATATTGGATATTTTCATTTCCTTTACTAGTTTCTGAACATAATTCTCCATATAAAACCTTAGGTATAAAGATGATCTATAGCAAAAGTTATTTATCAAAGATTTCATGAGCTATTTAGAGCTCTCATATCTGGAATGTTTTGAAATTAATTTGTTTGATTCTGATCATTTAAAATGATTGGGTGTGCTTTATTGATTTATAAGGATTTTTTCTCTTGGATATAGGTATTACTTTAAACTTAATCCTGATCCATGTAAACCTTTGGCATTTATCCTTATTCCAACTATGGCAATTCTTGGAAATACTCACACTGTTTCAATAAAATCCAGGTATAATAGTTTAATCTTTCTTTTTCTCACATCTTTTCCTAGTCTTAATCACTCTTTTATGTCTGAAACATGTTCTTTATGTCTCAATATTTTGACTATGTCTAAATATTTTGAAATATATTCCTAAAGCTAAAGCTGTAATCATACAGTAATTATGGTTTGTATGCAGGTATAATTTATATGTAAGTATATTTTATTTGTTTTCTTAATTATGGATTTTACTTGTTAGGATATAATACCTTTTTTTTTAAATTTAGCTCTTAAAAGATATGATGTCTAATAAGATTTTGTTTCCAAAAAGTAGGGAAGGAGTGAAGTGGAAAGGATTATAGATGAAGTAAGATTGGCCATGACTTGATACTTTTTGAAGTTGGGTGATGGGTACATGAAGTTCATTATACTGTTAGCTCACTTATATATATGTTTAAAGTCCTCTGTAAATTTGACTTTTCATTAACTGGTTTGGTTGTTTGCTCTAGAAGCCTGTTTTCAGTTGGTTCTGGCAGATGGTTGCAGATATGCTAGAATGAAGCAGACCTGGCTTCATTGGCCCTCTAACATTGGCTTCTTGGCTCTGCCATTTAATACCTCTATGTCTTTAGACAAATTTCCTAACCCCTCTTATCCTTAGTTTCTCTGTTTTCAGAGTAAAATGGTAATAGTCTTTTCTGATAGCATTTTTCTTTTAAAAAGATTTAGTGTCTTGTCTTAATATTGTTCCTGTTAGGAATTAAGGGTTCCTTTTTTATTTAGTTAAGTTTCTTTTTTTGTTTTTGTTTTTTGTTTTTTGCTATTACAAGTAAGGTTAGAATAGTTCTGTAGCTATGTCCTCGTAAATATTATTTTTGAAAGGATAAATTTTTAGAGGTAGAATTGCTGAATAAAAGTCCAACTGATATTTTTCTGTTGTTAAAATTATTTACTTAATAGAAGTATTTTTCTGTAGCTAAAATGTGGCTTGTATTGATCTTTTTAAAAATTATGGACAGTTAAATCAGCATATTCTGGTTTTGCCTACAATGTAGTTTACATAATTTATGTTTCTCTGTTTCTTTACAGTAAATTGTTGAAGGCTACTTCACAGTTTCCACTTCCTCTGGCTGTTGGTGTAATTGCTTTTGGGTCAGCACATTTATACAGGGTTCCATGCTTCGTTTTCATTCCTCTTTTACTCCATGCATTATGCAACTTCATGTAAGACTGAATTTAAGGAATGATAAAAATAATTATAACTTTAGGGTCAGTAAGAAGAGAGAATGCACAGATTCATCAATGTGGACAGCAAGATCCTTTGGAGAAGACCAGTCTATTTTTACAATATTGAAAATAGGAAATTAGTTTTATAATACTTGAGAAAAGTAGTTGAAGCATGGTTTTGTTTTGTGGTATGGCATCTGTGTACTAGTCATTTTTGAAAAGGGTCTGGTGGCCACTGTTTTTGAGGACTTCTGCATATCAGCTATTCTGCTTAATTGGCCATACTGGGAATCTTCTAAATACTCAGTAAATGTAGCATTGCTTGTAATCTCAACTCAAGCATTCTGCTCATTTCATCAAACTTTCTTCTAAAAAGTTGGTTACTTTGTATTTGCTACAGCATGCATTTGAGAAATCAGTCTTAAAAGATGAATGAAAAAGAAAAAGATCAATGAAATTCACAACTGTTTGGTTTCCTCAAAAATGAAATAACCTCAAAGAGTCAGTTTTTGACAGCCACAGTGAACAGGCAGATCTTTTGTTTTCTTACGTCTATGAACATACAACTTTTAATTTTAAGGAGACATGTTTTCTTGGTAACCAATGGAAGATTGGTGAACATAATTTAAACTCAAAACTTAGTGGAATTTTCTCACTACTTTCAAATACAGATCTTATTTTGTATTCTTGGTGAATATCAGGAGTCTATTAAAGAAATCTCTCCTTAAATTTAAAGAAAATTGTCCCAGATATTTACTTATTGGTGTTGGAGCGGTACGGTTGTTCAGTATGTACAATTTTATTTAATTCATTGACCCAATGGTCGCCAAAAGTGCCTCAGATCATAGTGGATTTTTAAAATAACTAAATTCCAGTGGTCAGAAAAAAACTCTAGGTTTGCAGTTTTTGTCTACTGTAGAAAAAAGTCAGCATGATCAAGTGGTATACTACATTTGATATGTAAAATTATACTATTAATGGAATAACCAACTGTTATCCATTAATAGCATAAGTATAAACAGTGTACCTAAATAAATTGGAGGTTTTAGCCACTAGTTTTAACAATGGCATCTTAATTTGCCAAGGTGATTACCTTGGTTTGACAGAAAAGAGAGTAATATTTCTATTTCATTTGAGACTTCAGCTTGCTTTTAGCTACAGAAGAGTAGGTGATGGAGCTAGGTATCTTTGCCTTAAGATAGAATAAACTGAAGCTGAGGTATACTTGGCTCATGGAGCCCTTCCTTTAGATGTGTATGCTCTACATACCCAAAACTGTTTAAAGTCCTTAAATCCCAGTAATACTTGTGAACTTTTGTCCTTGTTAGTACCCAGGACTGTCCTAGAGTACCAGATTCATTTTGTCAGCAATTGTATCTGGATTCAATTACAATCTCTCAGCTGTTACTGCCCGTGGAGGGTTTCCCCCACTTCACTACCTATAGAGGGTTACCTCACTTCACTTCTCAGTTATTCCTCAGGTCCTTGCTGTTTTGGCATCAGTTGAAGAGGATCTCGGTATCATCTATGAGGGTTGTAAGTTTGTTTGATTCCATTGTTGTCTCTCCCAACCTCATGCCTATTGTTCAGTATTTATATTTTCACTTATGGAGATCAATAAAGGGAAGTGATAACTTCATAGTAGACATGGCTGACATTTCAGGCTCTTGTTTGAGAGAGGTAGCACAAGGATAAAATACAAAATGCTTGTTTGTTCAGTATATGAAAGGAAAGAGAATTTATTATACACTTGTCCCATGGCATACCACATGTATATTTAAATAAGGACATAACTGCTTATGTTTACCTATTCATATATTCATAAGTATATACATTTTATCTTTGTTTTTTTCACTGATATTATTGTATTTTTAAGTTACAGGTTAAATGTGTCATTTAACTATTTCTTAATTTAAACTTATGTTTATATACAGAAAGAACTTTAGAACATTCATTAATTTGTATCTTCTATTGACAGCCACAGTCATCGTATTTATATGATCTAAAGTCTCCTTGTTCAGTCAGTACTGCTCATGAATAAAATATAACAAGCTTAAATTTCTCATTTGTGAGCAGGAGATTAGCTTTTTAAAGCAGCAGACTAGGCACACTAATTCTCACTGAACAATTTTCATGAGTGTAGTTATCAAGTCCTAAAGTCTTATTTATTCCAACAGAATATTTCATTTTAGGCCTATAAAAAGAATTCTAATTAAACATAAACAATAGTAGGTTGGGTCTTTAACCATTTTTATATACACACACACACACACACCTACACACACACACACTCACTCACTCACACATACACATTTTGACAGGGTGTTTATCAAATCCTGATGTACTTTAAGGCTAAATAACTACCAGAGATGAGAAGCCCAAATAACTACCAGAGATGAGAAGATAGGCTCTGTCTCAAGATTAGGGAAATTGATGTTTCTGTCACTTGGGGAAAAGATAGTCCTTTTGTCTTTAAATTATACATTGTTTCTACCATGCTTACAACCTATATTAATTAGCTGGCAGAACAGTACAGCTTTATTAGAAATGTTACTAAAAATGAAATTATTTACTGGAAGTTACAGATTATTCAGTTCAACAAACTTCTGAGCTCAAGTGCTATAACATTTTTATTTAGAATTTGAGTTTTGAGTAAGTTTTGTGTTATAAAAATTACTCTTGGACCCTATTGTTGATAAATAGATCAAACAGGAAAAATACTGAGTACTTTTAGTGTTTCTAAAGCCTCAGTTGGAGTTACTAGTATAATTTGGAACTGATAATATGGTAGAAAATATTAACACCTTTTTTCTGGATCTTTTTCATGCCAGAAATTAAACAGTTTCTGCTAACTCTTTTCTTGGTTGTCACTAGAATGAAGATATTTAAAACAGTGGTCCCAAAAAGCCATTCTTGGGTTCACATTGATTTTGAGTTTCTTCAGTATATATTGATCATGTATTGATTAATCTTTAATTTTTTTTCATATTTTGGTCAGATAAATTCACATGTATCTAATGGAATACCTTTTCTTGATTGAACTACACTGTGGTATCTCTATATACAGTAAAAAAAATAAAGAACTATACTAGGCCTAGTAAATGTTTGTTGTTGATTATCCTATCACTCGAGCAGACGGTACACGTTTCCACCACACACACATACTTAAATGAAGCAAATTATCGGATTTGTTCATTATCTAGTTCTACACTTTTTCTAATGCTTCAGACTTGTCATTCATAGCATAGTATATTTTACCTCACTGCTCATTAGCACCTCTTACACATAGTGGCCAGGGGAAATAAAAGGAGGGAAAATGGGAGAAACACAAAGATTAAGGGATAAACTAGGACTGTTGATTCCTGAATCCCCAGATAGTTCAACTGACCTGTATTTTCAATTTAGGCATTAGGTCTAAATTAGTGTAATGTCTTGCTTTATTAGGAGGTTTAGTGTAAAACTTTACAGTACTGCACTTGCAAATTTAGTAAACTGTTATTAAAATCAGTTGGGAAATTTTTTTTAAATATGTTGTGACTTTCTGTGACTAGGCATGCATTGATTATTTTTTTCATCATCGTTTTTTGTTTTCTCAGTGTCACCTATCATAGGAAACTAGATACCTTGTGAGGTTTTTCAAGGGGGGAGTCCATTTGGAGAGCATGACACACAAAGTATCTTTGTATTATGCAGGGTGCCTGGCTGGCTCAGTCCGTGGAGCATGTGACTCTTGATCTGGGGGTTGTGAGTTCAAGCCCCACTTTGGGTGTGGAAATTACTTAAAAATAAAATCTTAAAAAAAAAAAAAAAGACAAGACAGAAAGCTTCCTTGCCACACAAGGTAAATGTAGAAGATACTTTTACGAAATAGATGATTAGGAGCTGAAATTTTATCTCACTCTTTTTGAACAAGGACAGCATTTCAAAGTCTGTAATGAACTTTTATTTATACTTAATACACATGCATTCTTTCACAGTAAGTTTCAACAGCCTGAGGAAATAGTAAGTCTGTGAAGCTACTTGTGTTTTTTTACTTTTAATAAGGATGATACGAAAGAAAAGTCAGGTCAGTAATCCAAATCTGAATATGTGTATTGTAGATGTTTAAGAATTCAAATTTTTGTGATAAATTATATTATGAATATAGAAGACTGACATTGTATATTAGCAGTTTTAAGAACAAAGTTTGGAAATAGTGAGAATAGACTAATTTATTTCATTAATAGTATAAATATAACAGTACACCTGAATCACTAATATACATCCTTCAAAAGTTAAATGATATTCTAAGCTACATCTTGATTACATTGTCTATGGTTGAAAATTTTAAATCAAGTACAGGACTTTCTGAAAGTGTTTGGCATGTTATGCTGCCAAAAATGACTATGGTTTGAAATGCCAAGTAACCAATTTCTGATGACTTTGTATAGGACTTGATATATATGAGTCAAAATTATTCTATACCAATTCTGTACTATATTTGTTAATGTATTTTGGTTATAGTAAATTTGCATATTTGAATTTTAATCTTAATTTAGAAAGGCTAAAAAGTAGCCAGTTTTGTAAAGTTAATATACTATTTTTAATGTTATTTTTGTTTTTAGTATTTGTATTCTCGTAATGTTATTAGTAAAAGATTTATAGACAAAGCATAGAACCATTAACTGTTCATAAGCGAAATTATAGGCATATTTTGTATTTCATGTTGTACTTGTTTTCCTCTTGGACTTTTTACATCCCTTTTACAGGAAAAAAAACACATTTGAATTTTTTAAGCGTAAAACTCTGCATTGAAAAATGTAACTGTATTCCTATGGTTAGCAAAACATACTTTGCCACCAAAGCTAAAAGAAACTGTAAAATACCTCCAGATATTTGTGCCAATGAATTTTTCTTAACATATTGGGATTAAAGGAAAAATGTTTTCAGTATTTTTCATCTGCAACTTAATATTAAATATGTAAATCATCAAAACTTATATTCCATACCCAAACTTTTCTTTGAATATGTATAATATACCATAGTATATTCTATTTTATCAGAATTATGGAGTAATGTTTTCTGATTTTATTGGGCTTAAAAGTTAATTTACCCAATAATCTTTTGTTAATTAATTGAAGTAATCTTTCACTCATCACAGATTCATTCTGTTGTGTAGAACTTTAAATGTTATTGTGCAGATTATTTTTAGTACAGGTGTCTCTCATTTATGTAATAGAGATTTTACTATGGAATTTGTTTTGTTTTCTATGTATTTCCATTCAGTCCTTTTATAAATCACGTGTTTTAAAGGGGAAATTTATCTACTAGATCCTAACAGTACAATGAAATAGACATTTTAAAATGCATATTTTAAGAGAAAATATAAACAGTGG